ATATATACACACAGAATATACACAAAATAAGTGTTGCATTGCAAGGCTCTGAGATAACATTATCTTCTCTCTTCTGCTTCTAAGCGATGACTTTACAGCTCACAGCAACTTAAAATAATTGATACTTAGTGTCACACATTTCCCATCCATCGTTAGGGCAGTTGACTTGTTTACTATATTACACAAATGTCACTATCACACTGATGTGATAGTGACATTTTATTGTTGCTGTGTTGCTGTGTTTATATCATAAAATGTAGACAGGTATATGTAGTAGTCGTGCCTAACAACCCTTTAGCTGTTTTAAAATCAAGCAAACTACGGCCTGAACTACAGCTTGATAAAAAATTCAACTTTATCATACTTCTGCCTGTTGGATGATCATCACAATGCCTTACCATCTCCTGCACAGTGACAGCGATGGCCTTGGCTGTCTTAACCATGGTGGTCTGGTAGTCCACAAAGGTGCCTTCAGGTTCAAGTGCAGGTGAGTCTTCCATCTTATTGATAGCATCATTGATGGAGTCCACCATGCCACCCACAGCACCAGCTGCACTGGCTGCCTCAGCCAGAGTGGCACCCAGGTCATCCACTGCTTCTTTCATCATCTGCACTGACTCCTCCAGGGCCTCCTGCATGTGTGCTGCCTGGAGAAAGGAAAACATATTTGAATGGGCTATGCTACAATATTCAAACAACTCAGCAACACAATTCAGTAAAATCCAGCAAATTACATGGAACAAATGTCGATAGAATAAGATAAAAACAGTAAAATGGCCACATAAAACATACTGGAGGTCGAAAAATAACACACTGGGCTAATATTAAAGGCTTTAAAAAAAAAAAAAAAAAAAAAAAAAAACTTTAATAAGTAACCAGTGAAGCGAGGCCAGAACAGGGGTGGTATGATCTTGTCTCTTTGAATTTGTCAGAAGACAAGCAGCAGACAGTAGGTTTGCATGACATCAGTGAAAATTGATTTATTGTGTTAGTCCGACTAAAACCTGACTTTAAAATCGGGTAAACCTGTTAGTCTGACTGAAATCATACTGAATTGAATTTCTCAAAGTCGGACTAACACACCCAGATAATGTGATTGGGAGTTGAATTCCTCCTGCATGTATGCAGTCAATCAGACCCAAACTGGCCTAGGTGCTCTGTGCATGCTCCACAGTATCCGCCCTGGGATTTGACCCGGAAGTCGAGTAGCATTAAATGTGTAACAAAAGAAGAAGCTGGTTACAACATGGCAAAAGCTATATCCAGAGCCATGAATTTTTGGACAGACAAGAAGACACAGTTCACGCTGTGTCAGTGGAAAGACAAATATTTGAATATACAGTACATGGGCGGCAGAAAAACATGGAGTGGCAGTTGTTTGGTCTGTGATGTAAAAGGGCCAATTAGAAAAAGGTCCAAAACTAACAAGCTGCAAGGGGGCATATCACCACCTATCGTAGCAGAGTTGGACATACTCTGGTCAATAAATCGATTCCCCTTTAGTGCTTGTATACTGGGACAAGGACAGTAGTTCAATTAAATAGCCTAGCCGAGCTACAACCAATTTGTAGGTGGACTATCCTAATGAAGTGCTACATCTTTATATTTGATTATTTTAACACAGGAACAAGGATGTATGTATATGTTTGCACATTTGTATAATGTTTGCTTGTATTATTTTTGGTGCAACATTGATGCAATGTTGACCGGTGTAAATTTCACTGACGAAAACTACGACGAAAATTTTGTCAATGACCTTTTTTCCATGAAGAAAAACGAGATGATGACAAGCTAAAAATAGATCTTGATAATAAAAACTAAAACAAAATCTATTTTATTTTCGTTGACAAGACAAGATGTGATGAAAATGTTTGTGGTGGACTATCAGACACTGAAAGCCGAGAACAGCTATGCTTGCAATTAACTTCAAATGCCGCATGAGCAAAAGGCTGGTGAACTCTAGTAAACAGTCTGCACCAGGATGTTTCGCTTACCAGCAAAACCACTCACACCGGAGCAGCATCAGCCGTTGGTGCAAGTTGTGAGCTGTAATTCTGCAGTAAATAATAAGCTTTGTCTGTCTGACTCTGGATGGTGGAGCTGTAGAATGGATTTGTGGAGTCTGTAAGTTGCAGTGGTGGCTATTAGTAGTTAGCTCCGCTTGTTAGCCACTGAACAGCAGTAGAGCAAGCAGCCATCAGCCGCTGGACGTCACTCAGTCCAGACTGGAGAAAATTTTATGGGTTGATGTTGTCTGACAGGCAGGTAGGAGGCCCAATATCTGTGAGTGTAGCTGTGCTGTCAGTAAACAGTCTGAACCCAGATAAGTTTTCTCTGACAGAGATGAAAGTTTAGTTTTAATCACCAACTCTGTGAGAGGACAAGAGCTTAAACCTCCAGACTAACATATTGCAGATTAAGAAAGAATTTAGGCTTTAATTAAGTTATTTTTCTGCTTGTTAACAGTGAGATGGATAAGTCAGAGTTTACAACTTGGGTAAAAATCCTAGTTGTCTCAGATTAGTTATTTGCCGTGCCAAAGTTTTTAAGAGCATAAAAAGAAAGATGTTGAGCCTTTCAAATGATGATCAGTAAGTGTGTGCTCATAAATCACCCCTTAAACCTGTCATTTGAACTGAGGAAAAGTAATCTTTCAGATTTCGTACAGCCATACCTCCTTCCTCCTTTGTGAGTTCTAAACCTAACTCTGTTTTTTTCCCCTTGCAAAATAAACCTCAATATAATTTTATCCCACTCAGAAAACTGTTTTGTAGAGATTTCTTCTGGAAGAGCTTGAAACATGAAAAGGAATTTTGGACGTTTCGTTTTACAGATTCATTTCTTTGAAGGTAGGTACAGTGTAGTTCAGTGCCAAAACCTGGGTTTTCTGAACATTTACTTTATATCCTGAGTATTTACCAAAGTTGTCCAAAATCCTGAACAGCTCAGGGAAAGGAAAAAAAGGTTACTTTAAATATATCAAAACGTTGTCTGTGTACAGAGCCATCTTGTGTTGTTCGCCATTGATGGTAATACATTTGATACTGTCAGTCTGTCTGATCCATTGGGCAAGGGGCTCTATATAAAGCACAAAAAGCAGGGGTGACAATCCGCAACCTTGCCTTGTGCCTCTTTCTAATTTAATTGTGTCTGACAAATACCCATTTATTTTAAATGGGCAGTTGGACTTTTGTATGGTGTATTAATTACTTTAATGAATTCTTTGTGGAACCCAAATCTCTCAAGGACGTTACACAGAAACCTCCAACTCACAGAGTCAAAGGCCTTCTCCACTTCCAGACTGACCAACAAGGTTTGTAGTTTCTGCTCCTGGATATAACTCAATATGTGCAGTGAACGTCTAATGTTATCATGGGTTTGTCTCTGTGCAATAAATCCTGTCTGGTCAGTGTGGATGAGCTGGGGAAGGACCTCCTCTACTCTCCTGGCAAGAATTGACGTATATGACTTGTAGTCAGTATTAAGAACGTCAGTATTGGGTCTAAATGATCCGCAGTCTAATATATCTTTTGGGGATGACAGAAATAATAGCCTCCCTCCATGATGGTGGGATTTTCCCATCTTTTAAAGCTGTATTAAATGTCTGAAGAAGGTTTGGAATTAGCTCAGTTCAAAAGGTCTTGTACCACTCACTAGGAAACCCATCTGGTCCCGGTGCCTTATTTGCTTTTAGCCTAGACATTGCACTATTCAACTCTTTCTCAGTTATTTCAGCTATCAATTCTGTGTTTTGGTCTTCCAATGATGTGGGTAAACTGAGGAATTCTAAAAAGTGTCCAATTTGTTGTTCATCTTCTAAATGTGGCTGTGTATATAACAGTTTATAATAAAATTTGAAATGTCGTTTGTATTTCATTTTGCGTAAACAAAAGCATTTTAGTCTGGGTCTCTGATTTTACAGATTGTGCTATCTGCCTGTTACTTTGTAAATTTTGAAATTGATACATAATATTTTTGCTTTGTTTTAATCATTTTTAATTTCTTGTGAGTAGAGAATATATATTTTATTCCTGATTTCCTTCAGTTTCAAAGTAATGTTGGGTTTTGGCTCTTTTTTTTCTGTGTTGTTTCAAGCTCCCTCAGTTCTCTGTTTAGTTCTGTTAATCTTAATCGTCTGTCTTTCTTCTTATCTGCACAAAAAGATATAATATTTTCCCTGAAAACTGCTTTCAGTGAATCCCATACAATTTCCCGTTGTCATTTCTTCCAGAAATGCTTGTATTTCTTCTTTCATACAGTATGTGTTTTAAATTGTTGATTATTTAGAATGCTTGAATCTAACCTCAATAGTGTATTTCTGGAGTTGTTACTGATTGGCAATAATAACGACAGGGGTGCATGGTCTACCTATTTTATTATTACCTATTTCACAATAATGTATTCTGTGCCGATCTCTTTTAAAAATAAAGAAATAATTAATTCTGGAATGGACAGTATGTGGGAACAATGAGTATAATCACATCCTGTTGGATAAAAATCTCTCCAGAGATCTATCAAACCCAATTCTGACATTAGAATCTTTGGTCTCTTGTGTAATAGGGTTTGAATGAATCCTTTTGAAGAGTCTAGTTTGGGATTGAGGCATATATTCCAATATCCCCCACATATAACAATACCTGTAGCCTCTGTCATCAGATCAAAAACTTTCCTAGAAAAATAAATGTTGCTACCTGGGGGGGGGGGTAAACAATAGCAATTGTTATTTTGATGCCTTCTATCTTTGCTGTTATTAGTAAATATCTACCTTCCTAATGTTTTATTTCTGAAAGTTGTTCAAAAGGTACTTTGTGGGAGAGTAGGGTAGCTACCCCTCTCCTATGACCTGATTTGTAAGATGAATATTATACTTTGGAAAAACACATTTATCTCAACTTTTCAAAATTGTTAAAATGAGATGTTTATACAATCTGTTATCTTGATTCTAATTTCTGATTCATGAATTAGCCTAACTGGATTAGTTTAAAAACATATAGAAAACATAATGACTAAAAGTTTAGTAAAATATCGTGAATTTTCGGCAACTAAAACGTTTTAAATTTTTGTCAACTAAAACTGGGCTAAAACTATGAAGGATAAAAATGACTAAAACGTGATTAAAATTAATAAGCATTTTCATCTCAAGACTAAGACTGAATTTAAAATAGCTGTCAAGTTTACACTGGTGCTGACATTAAACATAGACCTGGAGTATAATGTCTATGTAACAATTCCAATTTAAATCTCAAAAGCAATAAACGTAGGTCAAAAAAATCACAATCAGATATTTTTTTCAAAATCACAACCCTGTTACTAAAAACTGTTGTGAGGAGCTTACTGATAACTGAAGGTGCTATTAAGGATGGCAAAAACACACTACATTAGATAATCATTAGACCGCATTATACACTGCACCATATTGGTGCATATATTGGTCCTGTGCTCTGCTAGACGCCCCAGGACCCAGTCTTACAGGGTTGTGTTATTTGGCCAGGTTTCTCTAGCAGCTTCACCTGTATAAGCCTATATGATGAGTGCCAGCTTCACTACCTTAGGGTTTCCTCCAGCCTCCTTGGCAGTGTAGAGCATCTGTAGGGCTGACTCGGTCAGGGTTTTGGTCTGGTCTAAGACAGCCATCTGCTGTTGGCTGCTGAGGATCTTAGATGCTGTGCCAATGGCTGCCATGATCAGGGGCTCAAAATAGCTGGCCATCTGAGAGACCTGTTCAAATGTGTGCAAATTAAAATGTAATGACAAGTCCAAAACACAAGATTCTGAAATGAAAGAACATATCAGGCTTAACAAACATCACTGCAGCCCTAGTCAGTCTATAGATAGACCACCAGTTAGTCATTGTTCATGTTCCACTGTATCAGGTGTAGAGGTATTGTCCTGTGTTCTACCTTGTGTCCCAGCTGGGAGGCCTCAGAGCGAGCAGCCACAGCTACAGGATCAATGAGGTTACTGATCTCATGGACTGAGGCAGCCATCTGCTCATGGAGAGTCTGCAACACATACATATATAAGATTCAGTCATGTATCTTTACTCAAGCACACATTTACCTTCATTCTTTACCGTCGCCTGAGTTTTCTTCATCATTTGAGCGTCTGAATATATTTGTTAAATTTTTACATACAAAGCTATACGCAACCCAGTGCAGTATAATACACAGTACAACTACCCTGCAATAATTACTACCTTCATTGAGGATGTAGTAGGTGGTGGTGCTGCATTGAAAAAAACAATAAATAATATTTGAGCATGAAAGTTAATTCTTGACCTTCAGTAATCTTGACACCCAGGGGAATTACAATGGCTAAAGAAAACTGTCGGAAATGGTGGAAAGCACTCAACGAAGCTAGCAGAGAGTTTCATAGCTTTTCAGTGTGTCTAATGTGTTCCTCGACAAATGGAATGGTGAGTGTGTGTGTGTGTGTGTGTGTGTGTGTGTGTGTGTGTGTGTGTGTGTGTGTGTGTGTGTGTGTGTTTACCTCCATGGAAATGTCCTCTCGGGGTGTTAGCTGCTGACTTATGGCAGCCAGAGAGGCCTGATCGACCTCACGGATGCAGCCGTTCAGCACCTCAATAGCGTCATCACACTCTCTCTGACCAGGAGCCTTTTCTCTGCACAGAAACACACACGACATGGAGAATGTATACAGTGGAAAGTGTCTGTATATGCACAATAAAGCAATGGGGCACTTTGAGACTCATACACCCACTTGACAATAGCTTAGTAGAGAAGCAAATCTTACTATTAAAATTAGTATAAAATGTCTATTGTTCCTTGGCACTCTGGATTCTCCACTCTTCAGTCATGTGTTCAGATCATGTTCAATAAACTACAGACCTTTCTATAAAGTGTCATTCTGCATTCAAATGTTGCTGATGATACATCTGTAGAAGTCTATATTCAAATACAAATTTCAGTCTGACAGACAATCCCAAAAAAAAAGTTGCAACTTATGACAGTTTAACAGAGCTGGACATGGAAGGGGAGCTGCTGATGGTGCTGCAACACGGTCTAACCTGAGGTCTTATAAAAGTCAGCTTATAATAAGAGGTGGTTCTTCAAATTGAACAAAAGAAATTGGTTATTGTGCTTTTCCATAGTATTGGTGGTATAGCAAAAAAAATATATAATCATGCTGTGTAAATCTCTATACTGTTAATGCACTCAGCCTACACGAAGCTTCTATTTTGTTTTACTTTCCCATGAAAGATTAGTGATAAGTGTCACCAATTCAGTATCTGACCAATGTCTCCCCTTCTGTTCCTGAGATATGATGCTGAATAATGGCCAGAAAAGTGTTTTTGCAGAACATTATGATGTCACAGTAAAGCTGACCTTTGACCTTTTGGATATAAAATGTCATCACTTCATCATTATTATTAATCATTTGTGTTAAATTTTGTCATAATTAGCACAAGTTCTTGAGAGACAGAAAAAAACATGTTTTTTGAGGTTACAGTGACCTTTAACGTTGTTTAGAAATGAACTGATTATAATTTGGTGGTCAAAGTGGACGTTTGTACCAAATTTCAGGGAAGGTCTCTCAAGGCATTCTAGAGATCATGTTCACAAGAGTGGGACAGACAGACAGATGGATGACTTCAAAAACATGATACCTCAGGCCATAGCTGTCAGCAGAGTGGAGGCATAATAAAACATGACATGGAACAAACAAGTTGCAAATACTTAAGATGCAATAACTATGGTGCTAGAACCTGCTCTGCTAAATAAGGAAGTAGCAGTTAGTCTACCATCAGTAAGAGGGAGTGGGTTACACCAAAACAGAACATTACTCCTGAATCAGTCAGAGAAGATGGGAGAAAGTCCAGCCAATAGGAGAGTTTACCTCATGTTGGTGATGAGTTTCTTGATGGAGTCAGACACAGTCCTGGAGTGACCTGCCAGCACTGACCACTTGGGGGGATCTTTGGGGTTGACAGCCAGAGAGCGAGCAGTCTGGATCAGGCCGGTCGAGCTCTCCAGCATCGTCTTTGCTGCTGCCACAATGGGCTCCATGGCTGCATGACCCTGAGGAGAATGAGTGGAAATCAGGATAAAAAAAATCAACAAGAGAAAGAAAGACGAATGGCTACCGTTTCCAGAAGTTGTATTTGGAGACAAATGAGCACAAAACAGAGAAACCAGTCAGCACAAAATATAAGATTGTCACATGTTCAAACTGCTCCCATGCTATTTATCTTATATTTCCAAATTTCCCCTCTAGGGATCAATAAAAGGCTCATTTTCATTTAAGATAGGACAGTGAACTATCATTGTCTGATCCCGCTCTAAATTCATGTCTGATTAAACTTAGTGGTATAGGCGAGGACTTACCTCAGGGCTGATCTGAGCAGGAATGCTGGCGAACTCTGGGTTGGAGGCAAAGGCAGTCAGGTTGTCCACAGCTTCTATCAGGGGACCAGTGGCAGCTTTACACTTCTCTCTGTTCTCCTGGTTAAATGCTCCATCCAAAGCCTGCACAGGATTTTAGCCATGATTACTATCACTGTATTGCTATGTCTCTGGGACAAGAGTAGCTCTGTCCCAAGACCATTAGTCTTTTCTGACATTTCTGTTATTTTTTAAGAGTGAAGCATGAATGCTTTAGAGGACAGAGTATCCAAAAGCCATTATCCGCCTCTCTCGATCATGGCAGGATTTTTGCCCCACCTTCAAGTCTTGCCATTCAGAAAAGCTATTATAATAAATTTATAAATTAAAGTTATTATCTTAATATTATTATTAGCACTTTTGCCTTTAGACATGATCCAAAGCAAACTGAACAAAATGGTTTGTTTGAAGCACACCTCAGCCATTAAGGTTAGCCCAATGCTAAGAAATGCAAACCAGACATTTTCTTTTACTTCACACAGAGTATTTGCTTTTCATTACTTGATGATTAATTTGAAAATACTTGTACTACAAACCTTTATGGACTTGACCAGGTTGGCAGTAGTATTGGCCACTTCTTTGGCTGACTGAACAAACTGCCTCTTGGCAACAGGGTTGGGAGTTTTGGAGGAGGCCAGGCGGCAGGCGTTACACAGTGCAGAGGTGTGTTTGGCTACAATAGTGGCTGCAGAGAGCACCTGGGCAGAGAACCAGAGCACTGGGGTGAATCAAGGATGTATTCAACCACATACAGACTCACTACCCAAGATGACAAAGACTGATGATAAAACTTAATGGGATGTTGCAGTGAAGTGAGCATGTACCTGAGATTGGGTGCAGGCTGGGTCCACCAGGTTCTGGCAGGCCATCTGAATAGACTGATTAGCCCGGGCAAACTGAGCAGGGTCCACCAGGCCTTTCTGACCTGCTGAACTGTTGGGGTCTGATACTCCCACCAGGTAGGCAGCCTAAGGACATCATCAGATCACTGGTCAGTAGGGTGGGCAAACGATCAGAATTCATTATTCGATCATCAAAAAAATTAACGATCAATTATCGATTAATTGATAAGCGAGAATTTCAAAAGAGAGAAAACAAAAGAGTGCAGTGCAGACTGTCGCCGCAAGAGAGCGCAGCTGCCCCAGTTTTGAGCTTCAACCCTCCAGGTCAAAGAGGAAGAATGGCGCGCATACGCAGTTCACCCCTGGGTGTTTACAACTGTTGCCAGCCAGGGGTTACAGGCTTCAGTTTTCAGCGAAACCTCCGTCTTTCAATGGTGTAGTGTTTTCAGAGGCCTCAAGAGAAGCCGCCGAGGCTTTGGAGAGCGATGAGAGCCTCCGTCTGTTTATGATTTTTTGCCTGGCTTAGGTTCAGCGGGGGTTCTCGTGGGAACGGTGGCTCGCCAGGCCTGCAGCATTGTAGGTGAAACACTGCGACTATCGAGCAAAATTATTTGTGATCGATCATAATCCTTAAAAATCAATCATTGATAATCGAAAATTGATGCCCATCCCTACTGGTCAGATTACACCGTGGTAAGTATCGAAAGTGCAAACACAACCAAAACAGACACCTTGCCCATGGACTCAGCTATCTCTGAGCTGATGTCTCCACTGTGAGTGTTCCCAGACTATTGCAACAATAAAGCAACCTTTAGTAATAATGTTACCTGTGCAGCTGCTTCGGTCAAACCACACAGAGCTTTGGAGCCAGCACTGACTGAATCACCAAACTCTGGCAAGTTGGAGTTCTTGGCATTATGGGAAATGCCAGCCATGGACTCCCCAAGGACCTGTTAACAGGAAACCAGACATTAACACAAGAGGCATGGTTTAGTTTGGGGAATGTCTGCATTGTGTCTATTTTTGCTTCTCATGATCCACTGAGCAAACTGGGATCAACAAAATGTTAGACACAAAAAAAAACAGAGTAATACACAACCATGACAGATAACCATGATGTAACTTTATGTGTAATGACTGATAGCAAAGGGTATTAAAAACTGTCAAGTACTAAAAGCTTGCATCAAATGTCTGCTCATATTCTGTATCTTGTTTACTTCATCTTTGACGGTCCCTGATAGAAATCAAAAGACTCTCACATGATTTGAGCAGTTCTTAAGTTCTTGTACAGCTGCTTGTATTCACAACCCCCATTCCAAAAAAGTTGGGATGCTGTGTAACACAAATAACAGAATGCAATGATCTGCTTTTTTTTTTTTTTTTTTTTAACCTATATTCAATTGAATATAGTAGAAAGACAAGGTATATAATGTTCAAACTTTGTTTTTTTGTAAATATGCATTCATTCTCAATTTGATGTTAGGTAAACAGGTTCATTGGTAACAGGTGATGGTATCATGACAGGGTATGAAAGAGGCATCCTTGAAATGCTGGGATGTTCACAAGCAAGGATGGTCTGTTAAAAAACCAACCAACAAACAAACAAACAAACAGTCCAACAGTGTAAGAACAACATTTCTTTACATTCAGTTACAAGAAATTAGGGGATTTCATCATCTACAATCCATAACGTCATTAAAAGATTCAGCGAATCTCTGCACACATGGGGGCAAGGCTGAAAAACAACATTGAATACTTGTGACCTTTGACCCATCAGGCTGCACCCCACTGAAACCCAACATAACTGTATAAAGGATATGACTACATGAGCTCATGAACATTATGGAAAACCATTGTAAGTAAACACAGTTCATCGCTGCAACTACATATGTGAGTTAAGACTCTACCATGCAAAGTGAAAGCCATATATCAACAACATCCAGAAACACCGCTGACTTCTCTGGACCCAAATTCATCTGAATGGACTGACACAAAATGGAAAAGTGTGCTGTGGTCTGACTAGTCCCTATCTCAAATTGCTTTTGAAAATCATTGATGTCTTGTCCTTTGGGCTAAAGAGGAAAAGGACCATGCAGATTGTTACCAGCCTAAAGTTCAAAGCCAGCATCTGTGCTGGTATGGAGGAGTGTTAGTGCCCATGGCATCATGGGTTACTTGCACATCTGACAAGGCACCATGAATGCTGAACGGTACATTCAGGTTTTGGTGCAAAATATGCTGCCATCCAAACTACAAATTTTTTTCAGGGACGTCCCTGCTGATTCCAGCAAGACAATGAGACACATTCTGCACGTGTTCCAATAGTGTAGCTTCGGAGCACAAGAGTGCAGGTACCAGACAGGCCTGCCTGCAGTCCAGACCAGTCTCCCATTGAACATGTGTGGCACATTATGAAGTGCAAAATACAACAACAGAATTAACTTAACCCAGAACAATTGTCTAAGGACATTTCTATAATTAGCACCACATTACATGATCATCTCTGAGAGACCTTGAGGAAGCTATTAGGGTAAAAAAGGACTCATAAAATGAAGTGTTATGTAACTTAAAGAAATTTCAGTGGAATACTTTCAATATAGAAGGGCAGCTCTATTGTGACTTAGGAGAGCCCTTCTTATATAGAGATGCATACATTTTAAGGAAGTGAAGTAGCAGCTAATGTGAGAGCAAGTAAACTGCTGTTACTTTTTTAGAACACTGAACTCATACCTTTGTAAAGAAGTGAGGAAAAATTAGAGGAGAAACAAATGATGGGAAGGTGGAGAACCAAACACAGGAGAGGAGTAGCAGTGATGTATGTTCTACCTTAGAATTCTCCATGACACTGTCAATGCAGTCAAAGTATGACAGTTCGTTGATGGCTTCTGTTGGGTTCTCCAGCATCCCCCTCACCGACTGCGCACAGGCACAACACACACAAGAAAAAAATTAGCGTGCACATCTCAGCTGAATGTCAAAAGACAACTGTACTATCCACATGCTGGAATTGTTTTATAATTTTCTTCATTATCAATAATTTCCAAGTATTTTTGTCAGATGGTAACCATGATCTGAGCCCTAGGATTTGAGATAAAAGACCACATACAGCAGGATCAATCATTGCTCATGTCAAGCTTTAATACTGGCGCTCATACAGTAAGTTCTAAAGCTAAGTCTTACATAAACCAGTCCCAATCAGTCGCCTGCTCGCAGATATAGGCCTGATAATAGAAACAGCCTGACTCAGACTAAAGAGAAAAGATGAAGATGAAAGATGAAACAGTTGAGGAAGGACAGAGTAAACCATAGATGGTTGTACGATGGCTGTTACCTCCAGCTCTCTGAGAGCATTGTCACACTCTTTCTGACCGGGAGCCTGCTGAGTGCACATGGTGATGAGCTGGTTGATACTGTCTGTGACTGCCCTGTGAACACAAAGGCTCAGATATGTAAAAGACTGATAGGTAGTAAGAAAAGACTGGCAAACAAAGAAATGGAGAGAAATGTGTGTTACCGAGCGGCTGCTGCTAGCTGGTTCTTGAGATTAGGGGAGCTCGGGTCAGTGGACAGAGCTTTGGCTGCCAGCAGCAGCTTGCTGGATGACATGGAGATTGTCTTCAGGTTGGACACCACCTGTGTCTGGTCCTCTTTAGACTAGAGGAGAGGACGGTAGGAAGAAATGTAGGAAATTTAAAAAAAAAAACTTTACAGTAACAGCAAATTTACCATACAACGACCTTCTAAAATATAATGATTATACATCAGTTTCTTATGGCCAATGCCTGCTTATCCCTATAACATGACATTCCTCCATTACAATGAACACACAAACACTGCAGTTTATTTTGATTCAGTCCTACATAAACTGTCCTGCTGACGCAAAAACCATCCACCGTTAAAATTAGTCCCAAAGAAATGTTAAAGATGTCTTCAGTTGGAACCTGAGACTTGCTTGTTGAGAAAAACAGAAAAATACTGAAGACCAGTTTTGAAAATTCACTTCAAATTTATTATGAAGTAGAGTTGCACAAATTGCAGTTTCCTTGGCTGATTCCAGGGTGGTGCTGATGAAGAGCTCTGATGATCAGAGCGATCGCCAGTAGCCAAGGCCTCTGCCAATATCAAGAGGATATTTGGCTCATTTTCACATTCATTTATTAAATTATTACTATTAGTAGCAGTTGTAGCATTAAATCAATTTTACATAACAATAACATACCAGACATATGCACAAAATGTATGGACAACAGAGGAACATTGTTTCACTTTATTTGGTAATGTAGAAAGATTAAAATGTTATGGGAAGAGTTATAATTGAGAAGATTATTGCAAAAAGAATCTCACTGACCTAAGCTTATTTTGTTTAGCTGATATCCAGAGAAACATACTATAGTAAAAATGAACAAGTATTTATAGACCTCAGCCTGCTCTATGCCAAAAAAAATTTGTATGCATTTTTATGAAAAAACATTCACAGACAAAGCATTATTCAATGGGAGAGAAGGATGTTATCAAGCCTTCCATTTGAAAAGATAACTTACAAATTAAAGGGTCATCAACATAACATTTGAGACCATATGGTGTCCCTTTATAAATTATGTAAAGGATTTAGATTTATCAGATAATGAAGTGAATAAATAATTAAATAATCAGATTACCATTTATTAACATTGGAGGAGCATTTGTTAATTCATGCTTGGGTTTTTTTTTGTTCTCATTTTCTCTGTCTTCCTAGGTTCTGTATTAAGGTAGAGTTTTTTTTGTTATTTATTACATGAATGTAAATAGCTGTATTTTATGTCACCAACTGACCACACTGTGCTGTCCCTACTACTGAATAGAGTTGAGGAGAGATAGCCAAAACATTCAGTTCAGCCACTTGTGAGGGAAAGAGAGAAAACTGCATAGCATGAGCAGAAAGACCCTCAGAGCATCTTTTTTTTTTTTTTAAATGACCCTGACACTAACATTTTAGCTGTTTTCTCTGTGGTTAAAATCGTTCAGATATTCTATTATTTTGCGTCCTGTAATATACTAATAATATTAGTATGACCAGATTGGATGATGGTCTGAATGTGTCACGCTAGTCGCTTTACGGAAGAGTCTGAGAAGATGCGATTAAGGGAATGTGACAAAGAGTAAACCATCATGTGTCGCACACATGTAAATTTGATCGATACAGGCTCGGCTCAGCTGGTCATGGCCGATGAAGCTGAAAATCATCCAATTCCAGTCCCCAGCTGATCCATCCGTGCATCTCTATCATGGAGTATTTCATACACCCATCACCTGTATTCTCATTAATACAGTTTGTCTTACTTAGCCGTTATCTCATCCAATGAAATAATTCAAATACCTCACTTGCTGAGCTGATCAGGTGTAAGTGAAGTAAAGGAAGTAAAGAAGTACCTTAACAGCAGGCTATATAGTTTATCTTTGCCACAGCCACGATCACTCGTGTAAGAGGTCTCTGATTGTACTGACCTGGGATGTTCCAGCCATGTCAACACCGGCCTCCAGGAAGTTGCTGAAGTCCTGTCCAAACTTGCTGGTGGCCCTGGCCAGGTCTTGGGTGGTCCCTCTGGACGCCTGGACCACCTCATTGGCTGACTGGTTCAGACCGGCTGCTGTCTCGTTGAGCTGAGCCTGAACCTCCTGGAAGCTCCTTCCACTGGATGGGAACTACAGAGGAAGGAGAACAACAATGAGAGCTGCAAGTAGCAACACTGCTTACTGAAATGACAATGTAGGTGGTTGCCATTCAGTCACACATGAACGTACAGGCTGTTTAGTTTTAAAAGTTATTTTTTTCTGCATTTCTGCTTCATTTTGATAAATAGAGAGAAAGAGACAGGAAAGGCAAGAAGGAGAGAGAGAGAGAGAGAGAGAGAGAGAGAGAGAGAGAGAGAGAGAGAGAGGTGTTAAGATGCAGCAAAGGGCCAGGGCCAGACTTGAACCCGAACCGCTGCAGTAAGGGCTCAGCCTTAATGGTACATACTCTCTTTGCTCTTTGACCCCTCTAAAAAAACTACAATTACCGCCCCGGGGTTGTATGCCTCCATGTATCAGTCAAGTTTCTCATATTTTACATCCATGTCTGCGAAAACATGGATGCTTCACACCCATCTTCCCCCCAACAGCACAGAAGATCTATACAATCAGCACAGTTTCAACACGGACACCCAAGATTAGTGTCACCAATTCAGTATCTGACCCAATATTTGTCTCAATAGTGTCTCAATCAAAGGTAACATACTTAGGATTAACATTAGACCAATCATTGATGTGTGAAATTATTGCAACCAAAGTATTAGCCAAGTGTGCCAGTAAATTGAAATTCCTATACCGTAGGACAAGGCATTTTGATTTTCCCATTAAGAAATTGCTTGTTTTGTCGCTGATCCAGTGCCACTTTGATTATCCCTGTTCTGCCTGGTTCTGTGGATTATCTGCTAAACTTAAAAACAAATTACAAGTGATGCAAAATAATGTGATCCGGTATTTGCTGAATGCTCCCCCCAGAACCCATATTGGTAGGGAAGAATTTAAAGGGTTGGTGCCAATAAGTCTTAGAGTGGAACAGCTTAAATTAAATCATATGTTTAATGTTGTAAATGGACATGACCCCATTTATTTATGCATTAATGTAACTATGGTCCACACACATAGCAGTAAGGCCAGCGTTCGATCTTGTATGGTACCTAGAATCAATAGTACAGCCGCAAGTACTTTTTTCTACACTGGTATCAGGCTATGGAATAGTTTGCCACTTTCAACTAAATCTACAACCTCACAGGGGATTTTTAAAAGCCATGTTATGATGTTTTTATGGAACAAAGTGAATGCAGCATATTGAATGTTGAGATTCACTAGCCATTTTTTTTATTTATTTACTGATGTATTATGTTTTTACTGTCTTGTATTTTAGTAATTGTATCTTTTTTTGCTTCTTAGTATGAGAGTCAAAATAAATCAAATCAAATCAAAAGTGTCACCAATTCAGTATCTGACCAAATATTTCTCCTTCTGTTCCTAAGATATGATGCTGAATAATGGCCAGAAAAGTGTTTTATGCAGAACATTATGATGTCACAGTGACTTTGACCTTTGGGATACAAAATGTCATCACTTCATCATTACATCCTATTAGACATTTGTGTTAAATTTTGTCATAATTAGCATACGAATTCTTGGGTTATGGCCAAAAACATATTTTGTGAGGTCACACTGACCTTGACCTTTGATCACAAAACTCTAATCAGTTTATTCTTTAGCCCAAGTGAACATTTGTGTCAAATTTAAGGAAATTCCTGAAGAAGTTCTTGAGATATCCCGTTCCCAAGGATGAGATGGATGCAAGGTCATGAGTTTAACCTTTGACCCTTGACCACCACAATCTAATGAATTTATCCTCGAGTCCAAGTGAACCTTAGTACCAAATCTGAAGGAATTCCCTTAAGACATTCTTGAGATATCACATTTACAAGAATGAGACGGACAAGGTCACAGTGACCTTTGACCACCAAACCAAACTCAGTTCGTCGTTGAGTCCAAGCGGACATTTGTGCCAAATTTGAGGAAATTCCCTTGAGGCGTTCTTGAGATATCATGTTCACAAGGATGGGACGTACGTATGGACGGACCACCCAAAAACATAATGCCATAAAATCACAACTGGACATAGAGACAAATTTCAAGACCTGTATCAAACTATGTACAAACGGTTTACTCTGAGTTTCCTTTCAAACTACAATAATTACCATGATCTTTTCTTTCTTAATGATTACTTGTCCATGTCTAAAGATGTGGTCCACAGCAATTTTTTGGGGAAATGCAGGAGTTGAAAGTTATATGTTTAAAAGCTTTTATGCATAAACTGTATGGCTGATCCACATTTTCTAAGGCTACTAATTGATTTTTTTCTTTGACCACTTGGCAGCAGCGGAACAAGATGAAACAATTCCACTCCCAATCACATTATCTGGGTGTGTTAGTCTGACTTTGAGAAATTTCTTATGATTTCTGAATTTTGAATGTCTGAGTGAACATTTGCTCCACTTCAAAGAACGAGTTGAGTTTAAAACTGTACTTTTTGAACCAACGTGCTGTCTGGGAAGGCTGAAGCTAAGCTACCTGCAGCTTTAGCCCAAGCTAGCGCGAGGGATCACGACTACTCGCAGATGGATTTAACAACCACCGCTGGCTGAGAAAATCCTCTCCTGTTACTCCAATGAAAAATACCCCACCACCCACAAAGGTAAAAACTCCCTAAGAACCGACTGCATCATTAGTCCCACATGAGGCACTTGTCGAGGCAATAGAAAAGCTAACTGCTAAAATGGACAACTTCGGTGACCAGCTAAGAGAAAACTCACGGTGTCACGGTGGCTAACATCTCCAGGCTGGTGGAGATAAATGCAGCTGAGATTAAAGAATGCAAAGTTAAGATGCAAGCAGTGGAAAAGGAAATGCCCCGTCTCATCAAAGAAAATGTGGATCTGAAAGAAAAATTGACGGGATCCCAGAGGTACAAGAGGCGCTGGAACCTTAATATATGGTCTAAAAGAGAAGGATAATGAACGTATTTGAGATGTTGTCACAGATATCCTGTCCAAGATTGCGCAGCAGTGGGCTACGTTGATGGAAACCTTGGTGGACACCATTCAACATCTTGGTAGGAGAGAGGAGGGGAAAAGCCATCAAGTCATCATTCAATTCACCATGAGACACCGCTGAGATGCCTTCTGGAAGCTCTCCAAGAACTCTAAGACTTGTAAAGACTTAGAGAATCACTTCAAGCAAGATTTCTGCAAAGCTGACCGAGAGGCTCGTGCAGCCCTCGTGGCCAAAAATGGAGCAAGCCAGAGCTGCTGGGAAGAATGTGCACTACAAAGGTCATGTGGGGTACATTAATGGTGTTAGAGTTGCACTAGATTAGATGGTCCACAGAACTCTAAGGGTCATGTACCATGTGTCATGTATCACACTTTCAGGTATTTAAAAATCCTTCTTAGGAGGTTCTGCATCTAAAATCTCTCAGATGTACTCTTTTGATACACATTAATGCATTTAATATGTATTATACGCTACAGTTAAGAAAATTTCTTGATGCAATTTACTGAGCCCTCAGTTTGTATCTCAGTTGTACTTCAAGGTGGTTTTATTTTTTGAGATACGTTATGGTTGTAGTGTGTTTAACCTGAAAGATACGTGGCAAACTGGTAATCCAGATACCAGAATCTACATGTGGTTTAAACCTGATGGCTCAAGCAAATCCAGAATCGATTTTTGGTTAGTGTCAATTAATAGGCCTGGGCTGGAATCAAGCTCTACAATTTGTGCCGCACCTTTATCTGATCATTACATGATTAAACTTGTTTTTATGTCCACAGAGACATGCTTTAAAAAAGGTTGTTGGAAATTTAATTCAAATCTTCTGAAAAGTGAAGTCTTTTGCCAGGAAATAATTATAACCATCAATGATATAACAACAGACTCAAATTTAACAACTTACAGAGACAAATGGGAATTTCTGAAATGTAAAGTACGCCAAATTTCTATTTCAAATAACAAAATATTAAGCAGGGATAATAACAAGAAAGAGCTAGAATTAATTAAAGAAATAAACTTTATTTGTAATAAACCCTTGATAAATGATAATAACAGACAAAAACATATACTCTTGCAATCTTTATTAGATAACATTTCCATCTGTAAAGCCAAAGGTGCATATATTAGATCGAGAGCAAAGTGGATAGAAGAGGGAAAGAGAAGCTCAGCTTACTTTTGTAGATTGGAGAAAAAAAAGACAAGAGCAGAATGCTATAAGAGCACTACTGACAGATAATCAAGAATGCGCTGACCCTGACTTAATTTTCAAGGAAATCTTCAAATTGTATAGTTAACTGTACTCCTCCTCCTATTCATCCTCAGAAGCTGATGATTTCTTTGAGCATAGAAAGGAATGGATCCCCAGAGTGGATGAGTGTTACAGAAAAGTATGCGATAGGGCTGATCAATTAATCGAATTTTAATCGTGATTACGATTTTGGCTCCAGACGATCTCAAAATTCATATAATCGAGGAAAAACGATTATTTGGTGTTTCCGTTCTGAGACGCGCATGCGCAACTCAACCGCTACGCCCCCGCCCCCGCGTGTGTGGAGAGTGGAGATCCAGGCCGGCGATTTAAGCACGTGTAAAGATGACAGAGGGTGAGGCTGAGCAGCGTCGCTTGGTTGATAAAAAAGGTAGAACCACTTCATTTATTGAAGTATCTGTCTCTTATTGTATTTTATTTATTTCTTGTTTTCAAAAGATTGAGTGCAGTAGCCTACAACAGTTTAGGGTTCGACATTAACGGTTGCCCGAATGCCCGAGGCAAGTAAAAATATCCGGCGGGCCAGCAGTCCCTGCGCAGATATGCCCGATCGGGCAAGCAGCACCGACTCGGATTTTTTATTTTTATTATTTCTAATCGCAGGGCAGGAATTATACCACGGCCAAACGGCCAGTGCCGTGGAGTCCCCGGTGTGTGGCCGTAATGCCCCTCCTACCCATACGGCCAGTGTAGCATGCCCTGTTTTTTTATGACAAACAGCATAGCAAGGCTACGGCTAAGTTAACATAACGTTACTGACACTCCGAGACACATGCACACACACATAACGTTACCGGACAGC